TACCAAACATCATAGGAGTTTTCTGCAAAATACCATGGGTGATCTCCGACGAGATGAACTCCCGCATCCACTCATCTATCGGCTCAGCACCTGCACCTGAGCATGAACCATAACCTGAACCTCCCTCTCACGTGCTCATCACCATTCTGAAAAAGAAATCGTACCCGTGATCAAAACATACCCAAATAATCCTCATCCCACTGGATTCCTAGATTCGCTGTGACTCTTTTCGAGTCGAGTATGGATCTTGTGCTTTAAGTAGTACAGGCCCAATACTACCTTCCACACCTATCCATACTTTCCTCAAGAATCATCCTGAATCCTCTGAGTCACCCTCTCAAACTGGTACACCAAGTACCCAATAAGCAGCGCATCCTAACCCGCTAAAAACACTCCCTATGGTCTCCTAGGTTCCCAACCTCACCCTGCCAGCAGCTGCTGAAGAATTCCCAATAATTTCAGTTAACTTCTTCATGAATACAGTCACATGTAACAAAGCTTAGATAATCCTTGGAGTAAAAGACTCATCCCTACAACGGTTAGACTCAAACGAGAGTTGTGCTCTAGGGTCAAATTCGTCATTCTGAGATTATTTAACCTATGCAACATGTGACTTAACATATTCACTTAATAGTTAACTCACATCATCATAAGTCCCACAAAGCACAAAGCAAGCAGTATTCGTGCAGTAACACTCCAAGTCACAGCCAAACAGAGGACATCTCTCACTTCCTACCAAGAAGATTCCAAATCTAGTATAACATCCGATTCCTCTTAGGCTACAAGGCATCACATATCAGGTCAATCCATCCAGTCATCTAAAATCCATACTAGCATACGATTCTGAAAGCTCAAACAATCAGGCATATAAAGGCATCTCTCCTAGCATGAAATCATGAACGGATCCTTAGCCCTAATCTAGCATGTAATTCTCATACCACATAATCATAACAAACATGTATGGGTGTTTTGGGAAAACTGACTTGAGCTCGGATGATTGCACGCATCACACCCCTTTCTTTCGTTAGAAAACTTTTTTTTATAAATATTCCTTTTATAAAAACCTACCAAATCCTCAGTTTGAGTTCAGACACACCCGAGAGTGTGCCCGAATCCCTCAAACCAAGGCTCTGATACCAACTTGTAACGTCCCAAAAAAAAGTTAATAAAAATTTCATTTTTCTTATAAAACAACCATGAGTGCATAATATTTAAAAAACATCAAATCACAGTGTAACATTGTATATTCCAAAACATTCATAGTTCATAATATAAATTGCGGAAATCTTCAGGGATGTTGTATGATCATGCTGGACCCTTCCCTCGGGAACTAGATGTACCTGAAAACATTTTAAACATAAATCGTAAGCACGAAGCTTGGTGAGTTCCCCAAAATACCACATACCATACATATCAAACATATAATGGGCCCTGCCCATCATCGGGCCCCGCCCGGCATTGATCCCCTCTCGGAACAGATTTGTTAGTCATCAGGCCCCGCCTGGCATCGGGCCCTGCCTGGTTTACATACAAACACATAAACACATGCAAGAATCACAAAGATAAATAGCATACAATATAATCATCAGGCCCCGCCTGGCATCGGGCCCCGCCCGGTATACATACAAACACATAAATACATGCAAGAATCACTAAGATAATAACATACAATATACTCATCAAGCCCCGCCTGGCATCAGGCTCCGCCCATTATACATATCTAATATCATACATGCAAGAGTCACGCAGACAACTAGCATCCTAATCATAATAAACTACGGGCCGCATTGGTGTCTTCGACCCGCCAAACACAGTGAGGGAGACTCACCTCGCACACTAAACACAGTTGAATAAATCTTGAACGCTACCAGCTCTACTGGTCACCTTCAATAGAAACCTAACCATAAACCACTGATCAAATACCCAAATTACCCTTAGGTCCACTCTAGTCAAACCTCTAGTCAATGATCAAAGTCAAAAAGTCAACCAGTCAAAGAAGTCAACAATGACTGAGTATGCCCTGATTACCCAGTCAGTACGCCCAGCGTACTCCGAGTGTTGACCAACTCACGGGGTGTTGACCCAGTACGCGTTGCATACACTCTCAGTTCCTAATCCATCCAGAAAAGGTCTTAAACCTTTAAGCCCAAACGTCAATTACACATAGCTAGTTCCAAAACATGTCTTAATCCATAAAGTCAATAACTTTGAGCTTTTGCATGGCTCAATGAGTACCAAATCTAAGCCCTAGCTCTACAACTTCATCAAAGGAGATAATACACATGCACGGGTAGATAACAACCATCAAGATGACATTTTTATGCATTTGGGACCTCTAAAACGTCCAGATCTAGAGACTAAGTTCCTGGAGTAAGTCTTACTCACAAGGAAAAACCAAAGGAACTAAAATAAGCCATGAATCACCCCAAACTAGATCTACGCAAAGAGATGTCAAGATGAGAACTTTTTACCTTCAATAGCTTGCAAAAGAGGTGAAAACTATGTATCTCTAAGCTTCACTCCAAATAATGAATCTTCATTAACCTTCCATCTCTTCAAAATGCACAAGAAAACACTAAGATTCTTCAAAAGAGCTCAAGAACACTAAAACGGTGGCTAAGGGTCGAGATTAGGGTTTAGGAGGTATGGAGGCTAATAAGAGGCAAGGCTCAAGGGACATAATGAGCTTATATAGGGGTAAAACCCTAAAGATTAAGGTCTTTAGCTGGCTGGAGTACACCCTGCATACTCCTGAGTACGCCCGAAGTACTCAAAAGTTAATTGGCATCACTTTCACCATTACGCGTTGCGTACTCAAATGAGTATGCCCCGCGTACTAGACTAAGCCCCAAAACCTTCCTGACTTCAAACGGTCATAATTTCTTCGTTCCAACTCCGTTTTCGACAATCTTTATATCCACGAAAAGTTAATGAGAAGCTCTACAATCCTATCAACTCTCATTTTGCTCAAAACTTCCAAACTTAAACCCATAATTCATAAGAGACCCGAAGTATCACTTTAAGGGTTATACCCATGGGCTCCAAAGCACCAACCGAACTCTCGGATCACCTAATCTACATTACCTACATCCAAAGGGGCCTAAATCTTTCCTTCCCCCAAGGAACGAAGCCTTATGATAACTGATCTTCGGGTCACGGCCCCGAATTATGAAATGACCCGAAACAAGGTGTTCTAGTGGAGGTTATCAAAATGACGAACCATAGGGAAAAGTGCACTTAAATAGGCCCTAATCCCAATGCCTAAACCCTCAGCCCATATACCAAGAATCGCATCGTGACACCTTATGTATGACACCGTGAAAAGTCTTATCTAGCAAGGTCCAATTTAGCTTAAGCCCAATTTGCTTCCAGCCTAAAACTAACCCTTTTAGTCTTAAACCTTGTTCTCTTAGCCCACAAACCCCAATCCTTTAGGTCCAAAACTTCATCCCATAAAGCTCGATGCCTTCTTGATCAATTAAAGTCCAACTTTCCAAATAAAGAAACATCCTGAAACCAGATGTTACAGACTCAAAGTGGTAAATGGAGGGAAAATTTTGCGGTCATTTGTTAGGGTATTAACGGCGACAAAATTGTCACTATTTTCGATGCCGCTAATACTCTTTCTATGATAAGTGAGACGTAGTCGTTGGATTTAGATACGTGATCAACGAAGGAGCTCTCTTGAACTTTCACTTGGATCGTGTTTTACTACCATTGGCGGCGACACCATTAGCAGCGACACCCCCATTAGCGGCGACAACTGAACACGGAGTTATGTTGTTGTCGCTAATGGTGGTGTCACCGCTAATGTCCTCTTTTCTTGTAGTGAACCTATGAGTATTGTATAAAAAATTCAAAGGTGGTTTTAGATTACATAGAAAAAAAACCAAAAACCCATTCTAGAGGTTTTTCTTGCTCTTGCTATGGATAAAGTGTTGTCCATATTAATGATGTTTAAATCATATTTAGGGAGATGACGGCATACTTTGTGAAATGAAAGGAAAAAATATTTAAGATCAAATTTGTAAACAATTAGGAATTAAAGGAAAAACATCATCTTCTTGACTTTCTCGATTAAATCGTGCTTTCTGCAATAAATAAAAAAGAAATATTCATATATCGGTCACCGGATTAATCCATTCCCTCATTAAGTCCGTTAACTAAAAAACACATGTTTTGTATTAGGACCTATAAACATTTGAGATTATCAACAAAACAAATTTTTTTTCCAAAAACGAGTTGGGTATGCTAAAACTGGAAGTCTGGAACTCATTACATATGTAAGCAAGAGAGGTTTAAAACTCACGGTTGAAGAATATGGATAGAAATAAATAAAGAAAAAAGGCGAACTAAAACTAATGAACTATTCTGATAGATTTCTTATATAATGTCTCGCATTTTAGAGATGAAAACAAAATGAACATAAAAGTTGTAATGTAAACTTGTATATACAAATTTTGAAAAGTGGAAACGACCTAAAATGGTAATATAGTTCTCATTTTGTACACGTTTAGTCCTTATTATTTTTTCTTGTAAAATAAGTCATGCAACTTGTTTTGTACACATTCAGTCCTTATGACCGGCTACTCCATGTTAAGTTCTCAATTTTACACATTTAATCACTAATAAGTCATTGTTGTTTGGGTTAATACCATAAAAGCCATAAGTTTTACACCCCAATTCTAAATTAGCCCTAAATGAATTTTTTGTTTCTAATTAGCCTAAATAATTGAGACGGCGTTTCAAAATCGTATAATCGACCGGTTAACAACAGGTTAAGCTCCTCAGCCGGTCACCACTCTCTTATAGTACTAGATCTTTCGAAAATATGTTTGTACACCACCAAACATCACCTTTCAGCAGAAACGTCTGCATCAAAAAGGGTTTCGTGCAGTTGATCTTGGGAAGAAAAAGGGTTTGAAAAGGGTTTCTAACACCATTTTTGCAAGCAAAAATTTTCTATTCTGAAGTTGAAATACACTAAAGTAGAAAGGTACATGGATGCCATTGAGAAATTGATGTGTATGTGTGTTCTTATATTCCATAATCGAGCTCCATAGTGTCACTAACAACTTTAATTTTTCATCTTGAACAGATGGCTTCATTATTTGGAACAGGTCAAAGGACCTGAAAAGGTTTATGTAAGGGAAAACGACTCTGATGATGATCTTATAGATTTCTCGTTCCTGTATTTTGCACCGGAGACCTTTAAACCAAGCTTAAACTTGTCTGATTACCCATTCCTTAACATATTATGTGATAAAAATGAGCTAAGGAGGGCTCTTGATGGAATGGGAGATGATGATAAGGAAGCTGATGCTAAGGAGCCAGAGCATGATCATATTGATGATAAAAATGATTGTGAAGTGGGTGTAGAGTATAGGGTTCATGATCCAGACATCCATTGGAAACAAATGAAACCCGTATTGAGAGAGTGTTGAGTCCCCTAATCAACTTAGGTTTGCATTAACTAACTATACAATAGCTAACAGATATCAATTATGGTTTATGAAGAGTGATAAACATAAAGTGATTGTTAGGTGCGGGGAAATATATAAAAAAGAAACATGTCCCTTTAGAGTTTATGCTGCTTGGAAGTATAATGAACGAACATTTCAAATTAAATCCATATGTGACATACATCTATGTGCTAGGAATTATAATTTTGAATCTTTCGTTAGTTGCAACCGGTTAGCCAAACATTACCTGAAGGACATAACTATGAAGCCAAATATGACATTGACTGGGATGAAGGAAGATGTACTTAGGGTGTTTTCGGTAGATATATCTAAGGGGAAATGTCACAGGTCTAGGACAAAGGAAAGAGAGATGATAGAAGGTAAGTTAGAAGAACATTATGCAAAGGTATGGGACTATTTTGCAGAAATCCTCAGGTCTAACCCAGGGAGCAATGTAAGGTGGACGTAGAATCTAATCCAAGTGGCATGAACTATTTCAAAAGGTTTTATGTGTGCTTAAAGGCTTTTAAGGATGGTTGGAATAGGGTTTGAAGACGTGTAATAGGTTTGGATGGTTGTTTAAAATCAAGGGAGAGCTTTTGACTGCTTTTGGAAGAGATGTAGACAATCACGTAATCCAATAGCATGTGCAGTGATTGATGTAGAGAACAAAGATAACTAGACTTGGTTTATTGAGTTGTTAGTTGTTGATCTTGATATTGATGGTGGTAGTGGTCTTGTTATTATTTCAGATCACCACAAGGTAAATAATATTGTATTTTTTTGTTTAATTATTATACATTTATAATAATTTTGTTACAGAACTACTTTCATATGTTGAACATAGACAATGTGCCAGGAACATCTATGCAAATTTCAGGAAGAGATACACTATATTAGAGGTGAAGAACCTATTTTAGGAAGCTGCCAAAAGTATTGTGGAGGGGGACTTTATAGAAACAATGGAGAAAATCAAACACATAACTCCAAGTGACTATGACTGGCTAATTTCAAACAACTCACATTCTTGGTGTAGGACATTTTTCTCTAGAGGATATGCTTGTGAGGCAGTAGAGAATGGCATACCAGAGTGTTTTAATTCGATGATCATTCACATGAGGAAAAAACCACTTCTAAAAATGCTTGAAGAAATCAGGATTTATTTAATGAATAGGTTTTATCATCAAGCTGCTATGGTTTCCCAATGGAAAGGTGACTATGAACCAAACATCTTAGAGAAGCTTAAGGAGTTTGGAAAACATATGAGGTATTCTCACTTTAATTTTGATCTTAAGTCTATATCTTTACATTACTAATTACTCACGTTAAATGTTTTAGGTATTGGATAGTAATACCAAGTGGAGGGGCTCTTTTTTAGACAAGGCATGGATATTCAGCTTACAAGGTGGATTTAGATGCTCACTCTTATTCATGCAGATTATGGGAGATATCAGGGTTACCATGTCTCCATGCTCAAGCTGCAATCAATTTCACACATAGAGATTCAACTGGTTTTATTTCATTTTGGTTCCATAAGGACAAGTTCATAAAGACATATAGGGACAACATCTTACCTGTGGAAGTAATATGTGGCCCCATACTGAATATTTGAAGCCCTTACTACCTCTTGTCAGGAGAATTCAAGGAAGGCCAAAAACAAAGAGAATAAGACATGCCTCTAAAACTCAGGATTGTAAGTACCTAACTCAGAAGGCAAAGATTAGAAGAACTATTAGGTGTGGGAAATGCAGGGAACTTAGTCATAATAAGTTGTCTTGTACGAATGGAGAAGGGCCCAATAAACCCGTCCCCACAAGGAAAAGTGGAAGACCAAGGGGGGATGGGGGAGGGAAATTATCTACGAAAACTGCAAAGAAACCAAGGAAAATAGGTGAGGGAACATCAAAAGAAGCAAGTGAGGGAAAGATGAAAAATGTTGAGGGCGCATCAAAAGAAGCATGTAAGATGAAAGATGTTTATTATTCAAATTTTCATCAAAAGAGAATTAAGATGATGGCAATGAGGGGAGGTAAGATCAAATATGTAGGGAGAAGATTGGAGGATAGTGCCAAGCAGACAATAAGGGATGTGTTGGGTAGTTCAATTCAATTTGTGGAAGGTCTTGAGGAAGTTTCAATTACCTGCCATGAAAAAGCTTGACCAACAAGATTTTCATACTATTAAAGATTTGAAGTCATCTGGATATGATCATGGGGAAATTGATGAAGCTTTTAATAAGGTATGCAGTTATAATTTTAGTAATTGACACAATTTTTCTTGAACATTATGTGATAATATGTTAATTTCTTATTCACAGTTGAGAAAAGAGAGGAAGGAAATGTTGGTTGGGAGTATAGTTAATGAAGAGAACATTCAAGAAACATAAGATCCATTGGTAAGAAAAAGGAAGCCCTCAGAAAGAATTATCAAGATCAATCCAGATGGAGGTGGTTCAACAACTGAGAAAGCAATTACATTGGAGTGATGTTGTTCTAGATAGGGTTTAATTGGGCATAAATCTTTTGGTTTCCCTTTTTGTGAAATAATCTTTTGGTAACAAGCTTCCAATTTATTGACAACATGTTACTAAAGACTGTAATTTGTAGTAAGTACAATGTCATTTTGTGAAATCATCGTTTGGCTTGTAAACATTGTTGTAAAGATGGAAGTTTGGTTCTGATTGTTACAATCCTCCATGTATGTATTTAGCTATGATTTTTATAAAGATTGTGGTTTGTAGTAAGTTTAATGTCAGTTTGTAATCGATAGTACATTGTCAATTTCTGATTAATGCTTTTCATATAAACTGTCCCATAGGACTATATATTACAACCTTCAAAATGTATTTCACATCCTATTACAACTGTCCCATAGGACTATAACACCAAATTCCTAAAAGAAGGATCTAATACAACTTTCACCTAACCAAAAGCTTCTCAAAATACTGAACTTAACAACCTAAACTTCCTAACTTCCTAGACCTTCACCAGCAATGCAATCCCAATTACCAACATCACTGCAAATAGCATGACCATGATCAACACAAGCTTCATCATCAACATCAACCTCCTATTTTGATCTTGATTCACCAGTTCCAACTAAGCATTGCCATCAGCCATACCAACCAAAGCTAAATGCATTTGGTACATCATATTTTTCTAATATTGATTAGGAAAGGTGGGTCTAGCCACATGAAGAACTTACAGTATCTCAAAGGATCCTGCATATTTTTTTGACAATTTTTCCCTTAGTCCCATAAGAAAACTTTATACTGAATCTAAGAATCAAGAACATACCTTGAAGTTAGTGCATCCCCTAAATTTCCTTCCAGGATTCTTGTCCATCCATACAACTGAGAAGCTAGCCTCAACACCACAACGACACAAAACCATGGGGTTGTTTTTGTTCCTGAAATTGCCATGAACATTTTTCCATGTTGAAGTTGATGACCCTGTAGACCCTGTAGAAGAACTAGCCATGAAGAAGTTCTTGCGTGGAGGAAGAAGTCGGAGGTGGGAGTTGGATTTCTAACGTTCAAAACCCTTATTTGTAAAGGAGTAACCGGCTGAAACCGGCGAAACCGGCTACCAGCGCTTGAGGCAAAAGTCAACTCCTACATAATGGCTAATTAGAAACAAAAAATCCATTTAGGCCTAATTTAGAATCGGGGTGTAAAACTTGTGGCTTTTATGGTATTAACCCTTGTTGTTTTTGTACACATTTAGACCTTATGACCAATTTCTTTAAGTTTTTCTTAAGTGACATCTTATGTGGGAGAATCACTAATGAGTTCTTATATGTGGCCCGTCCCTCACTTATATCACTTATATCAGTAACCTAATTCACGAATAGGTTGAATAATGTTGTGTCTTAGTTTTCTCAAAGAAGAAAATGTTTTCGGCTTCTCTTTCATCTATCTACATGGCAAACAACGAGATTCTTTATGACTGTTTCCTCCCAATTGGACTTGACACTTCCCAGTAGAAGAACACCCTGTGAAAAAATTTAGAGTATTCTGTAATTCTTTGGTGTATCGATTTTAACCATTTTTTCAGCAAATGAGTTTTTTTGTTCTTTTCAAATTGACATTTTTCTTATCTACTAAAAATTTATTTTTTATTACTAAGAAAAACCATGGAAAAAGCAAATTTTTTGGCAATAGGTAAATAAAAAAAACATATCAAATTAACCTCGAATTTGGAAGATAAATTTGCAACTGTTAAAAAAGAGGTTCTATGTCTCAAGAAATAAGTAAATGAGCTGAAAAAGAATTCACCTAATGATAGGGTTAAAATAAGGTATAATCTTTTGTAATGAAGTATGATTTATTTTAAAATAAGGTATAATCTTTAGTAATATATTTTCTTCACATGATTTAATGTAGTTAATATTGATATCAAATGAAGTTGGTATTGATATTAAATATAATTGATATTGTATTATAACAGTTACTAATATCAAAAATACAATATTATTAAGAACACATGATTCCACTACTTAAATGAGTCACATTTGAGAACACCTCATTTTTTATTGTCGCATGTAGGATGTTATGTGAACAAAACATGAAGAGACTGATCATAAGGAACATATACAAAAACATGACTTATTTTGCCAAAAAAAAATGAAACATTAAATATGTACAAATTAACAACTTAACCTAGAGTAGCCAATTACAAGAACTAAATGGGTACAAAAAACAAGTTTAAGGCTTATTTCACAAGAAAAAAACAATAAAGACTATATGTATAAAAAATGCAAACTATTTTACCTTTTAGGTCGTTTTCCCTTCCGATAATTATATTGACAATAGGAAAAAATAAAAGATGACGAAATTTCAGAAAGTTCCAAGTAAAGGCATTAACCATAATACTTACAATATTAGCTTCATTTAAAATCTGAGAGTACATAAAAGCTCTCGCAAACCTAGACATTCAGCTATGTGATTTTTGATAGAATATTGTAAATGAAATTTGGAAGGACATGGCAATATGATTTAATCATTTGACATCGAGCTTGTAAAACTTTTTTGAATTTGCAGAAAAGATATCGGTAACAGCTTCAAGAGCCTCAGGAATTGAAAGATCGCCCTCGTTACATGCATCGCGTAGAACAGAGAATATAACCTCTCGTGCCCACTTTGCACCTGACATGGCATCATTTGGAAGTTTAATTCCATATATTACATCTTTACAGCGAAAATTTTCATAAATTCCAAATTTCCAATTAGTCCTAACAAGCAACATCTTTTTTTAAATTTCTATGGTTCAGAAGCTGCCCGAATTGGAATTCATGATTCCATTCTATTCTATGGTGTGTTTCATTGTCAGAATTGGATTGTATTGGAATCCTTCAATTTCATTATTTGATGGATTTCACCATTGCTACTGATGGGTGGAGGGAATTCAACTTCATTCTTTCTTTTTGTATTAAAAGACCATATATATATATATATATATATATATATATATATATATATATATATATATATATTGTGTGTGTGTGTGCAGGTGATTATAATTCGGGTTTCACATACCTAGGTAAAATGTTTCTGGAAATGCACATCCATCAGTGCTGAACATCACCTGCATATACCATTTTGCATTAACATAAGAAGGCTAACATAAAAAAACGAGCTTAATTAATGATAACCATAAACAAACACAAGCAACAGAAATGAAAACAAAATTTTAATAAGTAGCTGAGCATCACCTTTTTTATTGGTGCTAGCTCCAAAAGTCGTTTCATTGTCGATATCATGCCATGGACACTAAGCTTTGGAATAGCCAAACCAAAATGAAGGTACACCTGAAATCGATTATATCACTTCTATCATCAACTCGCAATTTTGATATCAGAATTATCGATTTACATAATTTATTGTTGTATAACAAATTTGCTAACAATTTTCTTAATTAATAAGTTTTATTGCATACATTTTAATAAAAGCGGTTCAAAAGGCCTAGGCCCTATAACTGGTATAAGAGGTTACTTTACAGGCCCATTGTGGCCCAATTATTAGCACCTGTAATCAGAATTAGGATCATTTAATTAATTTCCCTTTCAAGTCTCTATCTATATCTAACCTGATGATATATGGATGACAAATATGATGCTTCCCTTGAAAAAGGGTAGGATGCATGTAACAGCACTATTCGAGAGTCCAAGAATCTAGGGTCTTCTAGAAGATTGCGGAGATGAAGGGGATTAGCCTGCCTCAAATCCAAATCTTTGTCTCCAAAGCTACCAAAAAAAATCAATACATTTTATTGAGTCAAGAAATAGAAAAATCTGATAAGGTGATTTTTTGTGTTTTATTTTTACCCTGTATGTATCTGCATGGGCCAGTCAAAACGCAGGGCCAACTCCAAGCTACGCACGAAGATATAATCAATAAAATTTTTGTTTGTGATGCGAACAGGATTTCCATCTGGAAAAAAAAAATTCATTGTCAGATAACAGACTTTCAATTGGTAGTATATAATACAGGACTGGAACTATGGGAAAAAATTTTGAACTCACCAACCAAGACTTGAGCAAGTGCCTCTTCAGCCTCTTTCTTGGTGACATTCGGATTAATGTCAAGGCCACTGCGATATGCAGCTATACTTTTTAAGGCAACCACATTGACAATGCGCCATGTGTCCACTTTCACAGACAATGTAATAACACAACACAACAACGATAAGGAACCAACACACTGTTAACAGAAACATACAATCATAGCTCCTTAAAAGTCTGAAAGGATATGATGTTAATCTTCCTATGAAAGTATCGGTAAATGTATCTAGTGTCCAACTCTTCCCATTTTTTATTCCCTGAAACAAAATATAATGACTAATGATGATACCACTTCAAAACTCAAAAGCCATGACATGAGAGATGTTTGGAGTATATTGCATAATAATGAGCAAGGGAAATGTTACAAGCACTAGCAATGTGTTTTATAAGAGCTAACAAGGTTGGAATAAGGTTAAAACTTAAAAGTATGTACGTGTAATATCATATCAATGCCATTAATTATGGGAAGACATGGTTACCGATCTACAAGCTACAATCATGTATCTTCAGTGACATTAGTTATGTCATTCATTCTCTATGCCATCTTTGTTGCAAAGAAGTTGACATGGCGATATTGGCCAAAACAAGGAGAAATCCAACAACATTTTCAGAACCCAAATCAAAGATTATTTTGAAGATTCATGATGTTAGGGATTCGATGATTTGGTATTATATATCAATGTTTATATATGAGTATGGCCATGGCCTATGTAATATGTATAAATAAGCATGTTACTAAGTTGCAAGAAATCAAAGTTTTGACTATTGATGACTAATCAAACTTGAGATTAAATGAGTCATGTGATATCATCGTTAGAAATGTATTTCTTAGTACACATTTATGAAAGAATGGAAGAGAAATTGAGAATTCATCATCTTTGAAAGTTGGGTGTCTAGATGGTTAACATGCCAAGGAAGTTAGTTATGGAGGAGTTAAAATTTGGGAGAAGAGTGTTTTTCATTTTGGTTAAATCACCATCTTTATACGAAGAATTCTTTTGCAAGATATGTGTAAGTATGACATGCAAAGACTTAGAACGTAAGTATAAGATAAGAAGCTAATTTATGATCATGTGAATGAAGAAATCTATATGAAATTGTGCAATGTAGGGAGGATATTTTGATCTTCCAAAGACCTAGTGAACCTTTTAGTCAATATATTTGTGTGCAATGTGACTAATTTGTGTACGTAATGTGGAGTATGTAGATTTGCTAGACTATGAGAAGTGATATGAGATTGAAAAAGAAAAGAATTTGTCTAACGACATTATCTGATGCTCACTTCTTTTTTTTTCGTTCAAGTTGAAATAGTGAAATAGAGAAGAGTAATTAATCATAAGAACAGACATTGTAATCAGAAAAGAAGGTAAGAATAGAATAAGACAATCTTACTTCATCAAGGATTTGCTCAGCTAGACGCTCGATCCTCAGTATTCTACCAACAAATGGTACAATATATTTATGCTGCCAAGTATCAATCATATTCTCCAACTCAATTGCATCATCTATTAGTACAGCAGAGATTTTTGCAGCTTCGAAACATGTATTGCTGAGTGTTGCTATTCCAGATACACTTCTACAGTTTTTTATTGCTTCAAGAGAGAACTCAGTGCAGTACAATTTACCAATATCCCTCAAGCTTCTCTGCGATACTTAACATACAGTTGTCAGCCCTTTGAACTAATACCCTAATCCCAAAAGTAACATATTAGCCCAATAATCTCTGGATCGATTTAAAACCATGGTAAAAATTATACAACTTAAGGCTCATAATAATAATAATAATAATAACTAGAAAGGTTACCCCCGCTACGCGGGGGCCAGAAGCTTTCAATGTTGTTTCCGAATTGATAAATATGACAGACATAGAAAGTGCAAGCATGAAAAGTCCGGGCTTTGCCCCGGACAAAAAATGTAAAAGTTTTGACTGCAAGGACCAGAAGTGTGAAAATGGCTAAAGAATTAAAGGGGTAGGAATTAGCAACTTTTTAGAAAAAGGATCAAAGTTGTCAAACCGTTAAAGTTTTGTGGCCAAACTTTACATATTAAAAGGTTCCAAAAAAGTGTAAAAATATTGATTGCAACGACCAAAAGTGTCAAAATGGGTAAAGAATAATGACCAAAGTTGCCCCAAAACATCCAAATTTAGTATTCCTAACTTCCAACAATAATACAGGACCAATTCTGCCAAAAAAATGGAAAGTTGAATGGAACACAAACAAAACAACATAGAATAAATTAATTAAAGAAGTACAGGGACCGGATATGTAAATCAAGGGACCAAACTTGGACAAAGTATCACAAATTTACTATTCCTTTCTTCCACAACTTTAATATATATATAATAATATGTTCAAACTTCTCATTCTCTATCCATGTGCATGTGGGATGGGTTATTACGTTGAACAAGGTTTCGATTGACCCTGAAAGTCAAAGGGTGTCACTTTAATTACTTGTTAAAGAAATGCACAAGTACGCTATCTACAAGGAACCAAAGACCAAAACTTTGTAGATACTATTTTAACTTAGAAGCTGATGAGTGTTGTATACTTTTAGCACAACTTCGCGATTCTAGTTGTAGAATCGAGAATATCTTACTCAAAAAATGCCCTTCGAAGTTTTTATTATACATGCCTCTAAAGTTATATAGTTCCCCCTCCTCATGAAAATTGCAAATATTTACAATACCCACCAAAAGAATTAAAGGAACCTTTTGGTTTTGGACCCCAGATGAGTGTAATTTAAAATTATTTTTAATAACGACAAACAAATAATTCTATTTCATAAAAAGAAATCTCATAAATCGCATTCTAAAAGGTACGTTTGTTGCAATCGTTTCAAATTTTCGTTTGGAACCCATTGAAAATTCGAAATATCTCCTTTTCATGTCAAACATCGAAGCTAAACCTACCTATCTGCGTTTGTCATACTCAAATACTCCATCCATTTACAGATTTACCGAATCAAGCGCAAACATTGCAACTTCGAAGAAACAAAGAGACGGTATTTCGAAACAAAAATAGTCTTAAAGGAGCGAATATTCCAAAAAGGGGCAACAGACAAAAATGGGTGCATTCAGTTACCAGCATTATTTACAAAAGGAATCATATCGTTTTTGAAGGATGAAGTTCAGCAAGTAAACAAACAATGTGTAGAAATTAGAAGAGAGGGGTGCCGACCTTGAAGTTAAGGGTAGATGGGACAAAGGATAAAGCCTTGCCGGAAGCTTCAGAGAAACAACTGAGGAACGGAATCGTAGAAGCGTGTGTTATGATGTTGTGAGCGTGAGCGTCAACGAGCTCCGCCGCTTCAACCGCTTGTCTCAGCTCTGCGTATTTCTCGTCCATCTCGCTACGCGTTGATCGGCTTCCCTGTATTTGTGATTTGTGAAAGGAAGCAAAAGTTATGATGGATGACGTTCCACTACTCTGTTATGGGAGATGGTAGCAGCATTGGCACCTAATTATACTCCGTCTTGTCTTTTTCTTTTCAAATTAATATAAGAGTAAATTACAGTTTTGGTCCTTGTGATTGACACTAATCTGCAACTTAAGTCTATACTTTGAAAAAAATGATGCGAGTAATCCTCATGGTTGCAAATCCGTCCTCGTTGTTGTCCTTTACCGTTTGACCACCTCTATTGATGACAGGAAAAATTATTATTAATTTACCCCTCATTTTGTTTTCTCCTGTATGGCCATTTTCTGAATTTTAAGGACTATATTTGTAATTGAGTTAAAAAGTGAAACAATAACCCTAAATTGAATCGGACATTCAGGCTCGTATTTTCTTCCATCACAACCCATTGGAATTATCCATTTGGATCGTATTATTTGGTACGGATTTTTGGATTGGATTTCACCAAAACCTAATTATTACTTTGGATTATTTTGGATTTCGGATTGGTTTTGGTTTATAAAATAAAAAACCGAATAGTCCAAAATAACCGAATAACAATTTATCATTTATTTATTTTTAATATATCTATAATTATTTATTAATTTTATAAATTATTTTTTTTTCAAAAAAAGTTCAAAAGGTTTCACTTAATAAAAAAAATTAATATGTATTTTCTCTCAAAAGTGTTTTATCTATTACATATCATAATTGTGTCAATATTTTAATTGTCATCGTACAATGAGTAAGATGGCAAACGGGCAACAAGCTGTGCCGCTAAGCCTTTTTGAATGGTAAAGCTAATTCTTTTAAAGACTACATCCGAAGATCTAGGGATATAACATTACTATGCATGATTCGTTGTACTCTTTTAAGAAGCTCTACCGCATCCGGTGCGAGGAAACCAAACGTATCAAATGCAAATGGTATGAACACGTGTTGATTTTCCATGCACGATTTCTCATGTTTGGTGACTTTGCCTGTAGTTGCTTTTAAAGCAGCATGTCCCGCCGTGAAACCCCCAGCCCTCAGGCCCACGAGAGGGGATACCCCTGTAAGATCCACACATGCGTGTTTCCCTCCGACCCATCCAAAAATCAAAATGTCAGTCGGTCTGAGGGTTGACCTTCATTCTGTCGGGTCAGTCAAGAAATTAACAGGTGCTTCTTTCTTAGCGGAAACCCCGGCACGCTTAAATATGTCAAACAAAACATCCCTAACCCTACCGGCCTGTATTTGAACCCGAGGAGTTCTTTACAGTGAACTGCATGCTCTCCAAAAGAGTCCAAACATGCCTTGTGACACACAGGACATATCTCGTCAGCTGGGAATATGGGAATCATGAGTCGATATTTGAGAATAGTACGATACTCCACTGGAGACATGTGTTGGCCAAGCCCATCTATAGGGATAGCCAGAAGAAAAATCTTGAGCATATGGTGCACGTAAGCACTGGAAAACCGCTTTCTGTCGAGCCGTCATGTCGAGATGCACTTCCATATCTTGGACAATTTTACGAAAAAGGGCACTCGCTAGTGTATTCTGGGATTTAGGGGGGGTGTCTTTAGTAGTAAAATTGTTAAGGTCAAAATCTGGAAGCTTGTTGCGAAGGGATGCCAAGGCACAGTCATAATCAGAATCCATACCATGTATACCGCTATCCCGTAAGATGTGGTCTTGCAATACCCAAGATTGGGCCCTTGAGGCAACAAAAGCATAGGAGGTAGCCTCTACTGCCGAGTATAAACCCAAACCCCCAAACCTAATGGGTAAGAAAGCATTTCGCCATTGTATGTCACCAAAGAAAGGGCCCCCACAAACCACAATGTCCTCAATCGCCCCGCGCAATCCATTGTCAAAGAATATTGCCGCCTCCTCCATGTGAACGGTGTTGGATTAATGTCTAAGTCCATATCTATAATTGGTAAGACTTGACCCGACCCGGCATGGTCCATTTGGGTTGCATGGCATCATGCATTTGGATAGACTATAATGAGAGAAATAACACTTAAGGTTTGTTAATATATTATAAGTTCTAATATATTAATAAGATTATTTAATTAGTATTGATCAAGAATTAATCTAGGATTAATTAAGTGATCAAAAAGGAGACTAATTAAATATATGGGTTGATTGTGTAAATCATTCATTCTTATATATGTGGGCTTGTGACCAAGATTCCTTATGTTGGACTAAGTCCATGGGGTGACCCATGGATACTCCATGGAGGTTAAAATCCATGGAGCATAAGGAATGGGTAAAGTTATGAGTTACATAGTGTAACCCTAATAGCCACCATATAAAAGAATCTCATGGCTCAAGAAATCGTGCACTAGTGTGTGTGTATGAGGGCTACACGATTTCAAGAAGTGTTCAAGTTTCTCTCAAGTTATTCCAAGTGTATTTGGTGTTGTGTGAACCATTTGAGGTGTCACACTTGGGGCACTAGGCACTCAAGCTTCATGAAGATAATCTACACCAAAAGGTATGTAATTCTAACTTGTTTATATTCATATGAATCCATGTTCTTATGCTAGTTAGGATGAATACCTTGGAATATTCATATTTGCATGTATAATAGAGAAAACATAGATCCAAGGTATTTAGGGTGGCATGTACACTTAGGAGTGTTAGAATGCTCAAAACCCAACAGTGGTATCAGAGCCTAGGCTTGTTTTCTTGTTATACTAGTAAAATTGCTGAAAAAAACGAATTTTGTTGCTGTCTGCACAGCAGACTCGCCGAGTCCATAAAGGGACTCGACGAGTCCAAGGAAAAATGCATCCAACTCGCCGAGTTTGTTCGTGCACTCGACGAGTTGGACCCCCTGACAGCATATTTTCGAGTTTTTTGGCTGGAAATGGACTAGGAACATTACCATAAGATGTTTTTGGACTTATAAACTTGGTTTTTGATGTGGTAATGTTCATGCTAATCCAATTTCAAAGATAATTGTCAATAGATTCATGTTTTGTATTAGTTTAAAAGTTATGCTAATTACATGAAAAAGTTTGATTTGAATTATCTTGTTCTTATGAGTTGCTTGGATTAATAGAAAAGTTAATTGATTATGTGTTTTCAATCCATTTTAATCTAAGAGTTGATTCTAAATTGTGTTTTTGTAACTTGTCCTCAAGTTATATGAAAAGTCACAATTAAGTTTCATAAAACTCATAAAAGTTGGCAAAGGTTACAAAAAAAATGAAAAGTCTTGTCCTCATTAAGTGGTTTATGACTCCATAACGTGTCCTCAAGTTATGGAAGTTCAAGAGTCATTTCATTAAATCATAAAATGTGTAACCTTAATTAATTCCATAAGTTATAAAATAAAGAAAAGTTACATTCTTTTATTAGTTTAAAGTCTTCCATAAATTGTCCTCAAAATTATGGAACTTGAAGAGTCTTTTAATTAAAACTACTTTAAACATATAAGTTATGGAATTAATTAGTTTTGAATTGTTTCAAAACTTACCCTCAAGTTTTGGAATTAGAAAAGTTTTCACTTATGAATACTTTGATTCCAAGTTAGCCCCTAGAATTTTAAAAGTTAAAGTTCAACCCTTATACTATTATTATAATTTTAATTATATAGATATGTATAAGAAAAGTCAATCTTACCGTTAGTAGGCCTCATTCACGAAGCCGGTCTATAAGGGGGGTATAAGGTTATTGCCTATAAAATGGCAGTTTAATGGGTGTCCACTCTCACCCACCGCTTCCTTGACTGGTGGAGGGTCGTTAGCCGAACGGGTAGGACAAGGACTATAATTCTCCCTTCATTAAAAGTATTAATGATAAATACTAAGTAACTAAACATTTATAAATTCCTAATTCTTAGTTACTTAGGAAAATGTGAAATTGGTGCTAGCCCATAAAATTACACTTTGTACCTTACCAAGTCGTTAGTGGAGCGTGTGTGGTTAACCGGCACACTAACATGGACTAGTAAGAGTGGCAAAGGGTAACTTAACTTTATTATAGATCGGTGGAGCGTGTGTGGTTAACCGGCACATCGATTAGGTAATATTGTTGAGGGTACCAAGTCAATTTGTATGGTTATTCACACCTTGTTTGTGATCCTCGGCATCCCAGTCACAAACTTGAGAGGGCACAATCGAGATTCAAACATGCCATTGAAAGTTCAATGTATCTCAAAAGATCTAGGAGTTTCAAATCCAATTAAAACTTAATTATATTTCGTTTTTCATGGTGGAAATTGGTAAATCGTCATTTACCTACCTTCAACTATTTTATAATTTGGATTACGGCATCCCTCTTCCAATTATAAATAGGTTGTTGGATCCTAGCCTTAATATTTCATATTGGGTGTTATATTAAGGACTTTAGATCAACTATCTTGAATAATCTCCCAAAAGATGTCTAAGTTTAGACATCTATGATCTTCCCAAATCTCTTGAAACAAGCTTTCCTAAATGAAGATGATGTCCCATGGAAATCATACTTCTTTCACCTCCTCTAATTATTCTCCCTAACCCACAAGTTCTTGAAAAGTTTAAGGTCACTCAAGCCCTATTGGCAAGCAAAGGTCTATGTGTGATCACATCTTGGAGATGTAGTCACATATTGACAAGCCGGGAGAGTTGGGTGTCAAAGTCTTGAGAAAGTTGGTAGCTCAAATACTTTCTAAGTCACATAGTGAGTTCCTTTGGGACTCCTATGAAACAGACTATGACAAGACCCTTAACGATCTTATCTATTCGCTAAGATCAACTTCCTAAAACTTTATGGACCTGGCAATGATTGGATATCCAGTAAAGCATTCTCTTCCCAATGGAAAGGGATCGACCATGGTCAACTCGGTTGACCAAATGGCCAAGAGAAAGGCAAAGTCTGTGATAGTCCTATGTACCAGTACCAAAGCGTCCATATGTTAAATTGCCAAAGGAAGGGGCATTGGTTGCGAAGCTGCCAAATTTACCAAAGGATGTTAAAGTCAATAAGTTTGACTCTACTTCAGGTAAAGTCCACTATCTAACTCTGCTAAGTTCCTATTCTGAGATTCTTGATGCATGATGTGACTGGGTCACATGTTGATGTT